ATGTCAGAGGTTGTGTTGCCAAATCCCACATCAAGATTTGAGCCCATGATTCAGGCTGACATAAACTGCAGTGGTCGGGGAACATTGCAATGTGGGAAGCGATGTCCTTCAAATGAGTTAAACCCCATCTCCATCTGCCTGCCCCTCAGGCTGACATTAAAGTTATCATTATACTATTGAAAATGTACTTCTTTGACTATGCTTTCAGTCATCTTTCCCCTCCCACCCTCTTCAGCTCCCGCCCCACACAACCCCCACGACCAATACGAAGAGCTTTGAGACATCCTCCTAGAACCATACTGAGCAATACACGGCCCTTAAGCGCAAAGCAACTCACGGCCCTGGCTTCATACAAATGACAACTATTCTATTGAAAAGTGTGACATGTGTTAGGCTAGTTTTGCCTATAAAGTAGCCATGTTGCGAGTGCTATTCGTACTGTTGTACCATGATGGATACCATGACTGGAATGAAACAAAAACTGATTTGAAAACGCTGCCAGATAAATATTACGCAGTGAGAGCAATTGAGAGTGGAAACTTAGGAGAAGTCTGCAAAACCTTCTCTGTGAAGCACAATACCCTACATGGCTGGTTAAAATCTGCCACACGCATAAAAGCCAAATATGAAGCAGAGATATACGACATACACGTCACAAATAATAAACTAAAAACTGCAAAATGTAAAGACGATGGGGATGCATTAGCTATGTGGTTTAATGAAAAACTCACTGAAAATCCCACCTTCACAATTAGTTGTGTGCGTAGAGATGGCCAAGCCTTTTCCCAATCAGCAAGGCATAGAAAATTTCACCTCCAGCAACAGGTGGTTCAGTCATTTTAAGGCTCGGCATGGTCTTGTGTGTAAAATAATTTCTGGTAAGGGTAAGTCTACCAACGTGTCTCACTTCAGGAGCGGAATACCGGCTCCAACAAACTCTGTGGGACTATAATTCAGACCGTATTTACAACACCGAGACGTCTTGTTTCTTAAGTACATCCTGGACAAAAATTATGGCATTAATGAACAACCGTGTAGTAGGGGTAGGTAAACAACCTAAAGACCATGTTTCAATTATTTTACCTCCAACATGATTGGAACAATTAAGTCACAGCTTCTCGTAATAAGAAAGTCAAAAAACCTGCAATGCTTCAAAAACAAAACATCTACCAGTCAGTATGAGGCCAACGCTAAATTCTGGATGACATCTCATATTGTACCAAATGTGTCCAAAAGCTGGAACCCAAGATGCCTATGCTTGGTTGCGTTATTAGTCGATAATTGTTCTGACCACTTTCAGGTTAATGGTTTGCAAGCCATTAAATTGGTGTTTCTGCCTTCAAACACCGCGATCTTAAACCAGCCAATGGATCAAGGGATTATTCAAAATCTTAAATACCACGACCGGAAACCTATCGACAATGTGATAAGGCATTATATGAATTGCAAGGTTATTATAAGTAAAGCCACCTGTATTTGGTGTGGTGCTCCCACCTCTATCCCCACACACCATTTCATATGGTCAGCAAACTACTGATCCATGACATGAAACCACCTTTATATAATTAATTTCTGGATTTAAAATCAGTTTCTTTCTTTCTATCACCAAGCAGTCAGCTGAATGCACAAGGAATGGGTTAAGAAATTACTGCAAATGTTACCAACACTTTAAATAAAATCCATGAGATTGCTCAATGGCTACTCTACATAGATCCTCATCTATGATCCAGCTACCACAAAAACTAATGGTCTCCTCATGCCTGAAATTCCCCAATGTTTCCCAGATTTCACACAGATTTTCACATAAATACATTATCCTACCTTTACACAATCCTATCACCACCTGAAGCATCAAATACCATCCCTAATTTGTTAGCTGTTATGAGTTGGCACCTATAACTTTGACATCTGCATCACCTGCACTTATTAAAATACAAGTAATTTGTACCTTTGATTCCTGCGGAGAGAACAACTACCAATTCAGGCAGTTGTATCACTTCTTATGTTGCTCTGGTTTCAGATCAAACTATCAAATTACTAAAATAGCAGCAAAATTCCACTTTCAGCTTTTTTAGTTTTATGGCAGCAACAATAACAATTTACGTTTGTCCAGTGCCTTTTTCATCAAGAAGACATCTGAAAACGTGACACAGCAAACTGGGTTCCGGTGGGGTTGGGGGGGGCTTGGGGACAAGATGACCAAAAGTGCAGTTGCAAAGTTAAGTCTTAAGGTGGGCTTTAAAGACGGGGAGGGAGGGGTTGAGGCAGAGGAAAGGAATTTCAGAGACGGAATCAGAATATCTGAAAGGCTCACCCACTAATGGTAGGGTAGAGGTTATTAGGCTGGCTAGTGTTTGCTGAACAGAGCGCGTGGCCAAGGTGGTGGAGTTGCAGGAGGTCGCAATGGTACGGTGGAGTGAGGCCATGGACATCTTCATTAAACATGAGGATCTTGAATTTGATCCACTTGGGGTTGTAAGCCTTTTCTTGCAGATGGAGTCCGGTGGGTAGTGGTTAGCATGCTCGCCTCGCAAGCGAGAGGTCTTGGGTTCAATTCTCAGGCTAATAAGTAAATACATTTATGGTACGAAAGAGGAATACAAGCTCCTTGAAAGCAACCTGAATATTGATGTTGATGTGAGAGTTCTATTTGAGAACAGAGGAGACAGTGAGGCCAAGAATACAGCATATTAAGTCACAACGCATTCAGCACAAATCTCTTCAAAGAAAATTGTCCCCTTTTAATCTTAGTTTAAGGACTCCTGTTACACCTTTAAAAAAGTATTCAAGAGAACATCACATCATCTACAGCCAAAATAAAGAAAGCCCTATTGTGGTGCATTTAATTATTAATTGAAGAACTTTCAGGTCTTTTCCCTTTAAATTATTCTTGCTTTCAAATCATGACAACTGGTTTGTGCTTGAGGAACTTTTCAATAGATTAGTTGTGGCTGGTATGAAGCCAGCGTTGTGAGTTGCTTTGCGCTTAAGGGAAGTGTGTTGCTCAGAATGTCCAGAATACATCAGATATAGGAGTGCTGCACAAATGATACAGCTCACTGATTTAGGTCATGCCAACAGTATGAGAGAGCTTAGCAACCAAATGATATGCTACCAAAGAAGCACGTTGATGCTGCCCAACCTTAAGAACCAGTCCCAATTAGATGTCAGAGAGGGAAAAGTGTAAAACCACATTGTTAATAATTACCCTGCTTTACTCTTAAACCTCTTTCTTATTTGAAGCGCTGATGTGCTTGCTTCTAAGCATTACCTGCGAACTTACAAAGAAACCATTATCTGATAAGTTTGTGCTAACATGTTTTGCAATCCTTATGTTTCTGCCAATGAAATAACAGAAACGCAATAATTCAAGGTTGCAGGTTTAAATGAAAAGTTTTACAGTCTGGACTAAAAACAGAAAAAATAACCTTATAGAGACCAGTATTGTCTCGGGTTTGATCCCAAGTCTGTGCTGAGTGAACTTATTTCATCCACAACAGTGGTGGAGGCACTAATATTGACCTGATGGTCTGGGAAAGAGGAAGGGGAAAAAATTGCACCAGTATCCACCATTGATCCAGTGCAGGGTGTGCTTCTGTACCATTAACATATTTATTTATTTCCAATCCATAGTATATGCATGTCAGCTAAAACAAGATTAGCTTTCACTATGTTACCTTCCAGGATCTAATAAACTGAGATATTCACTACCTCAGACAAAAGCTACAGTTATGTGGGAGAGGTACCTGTGGGCTGGAAGTGAACCACAGCAAGGAACCACTGGCAGGAGAGAAGAGAGAAAACATTTCAAGTCTATATTGCTCAACTTCCCAGTAAAACACAAGCTCATTTATATTGTAGGTAAGAGTTTTCTTACTATTGCTGCAGCTATAGTGTATAGTCTTGTTCAGAAGAAAGCTTGAAACCTTACATTTTTTTTGTATAATTTATATAAATTCAACCATTTTTTACAAAATCATGTTTTTCAACAGCAGATATGGATCAGAATTGATTTGTTTATGCACTTGCAGCTCTAATGGCTATTAATAAAGCCCCGTGTGAAATTGAACCATACAAGATCACAAATTTTTTTTAGTCAGGCGGGTGTCCAACACATGCAAAAAACTATCACTGGACTGAAAGTTCCATATATATAGTTACACATAGTAATTCCGCTGTATCTGGAATAGAATGTGTGCTTTCTCCCTGCTTATCTACTTCTGGAGAGAGATTATTTGGCACTGGTTGGCAAAAGCCAACTTTTGAGGATCCCAAAGTGTGCTTTGAAGTATTGCTGGAGTTTATGCAGATAAAACGGCATTGGTTGACATTCCAAGTACTATTTGGCAAACTTCCTGCTGCTTGTTCAGCTAGGACATCCCTACCCATTAGAGCTTTGGCTTGCACATCAGCTCTAAGGAGATATAATCACAATACATGTTTGGAGATTAAAAGTTAAAATTTGATGTAGCATCTTTCACAACAGGAAAATGCCTTAAAGGATTTAAAAAAGGATTTAATATAGAGTGTAATACAGTGTAATAATAATCCCTCAAAAAAAAATTGGTCGCTTCAATCTACGACTGTTTGTGGGACTCTGCTGTGCGCAATTGGCTGCCGCATTTCGCCCACAAATGTACAGTCAATTCACTTTACAATCTATTCAGTGAAGTGCTTTGAGACTTTTAGAAGAAATAAAAAGCGCTATATCAAATGCAAGGATTATTATTATTAATGACGGTGTATCTGTAGGTGCACATAATAATAATAATCCTTGTATTTGATATAGCGCTTTTCATGTCTTCTAGAAGTCTCAAAGCGCTTCACTGAATAGAGACTGTAAAGTGAATTGACTGCATATTTGTGGGCGAAATGCGGCAGCCAATTGCGCACAGCAGTGTCCCACAAACAGTCGTGGATTGAAGTGACCAATTTATTATTGTTTTTTTTCTTGAGGGATTATTATCAGGCGTGTGGAGTAAGGAAACTTGCCTAAGGTTTCGCCCTGCCGGGAATCAAACCTAGGTCTCTCGCTTGAAAAGCGAGCACTCTAACCACTGAGCTACAGGACTCCATAATGCCAGCCAATTTGCCAATATCAGTATTCCACTTGCAGCCTTGAAGTGAATATTCAATTTTATCTGAAGGATAGGTTGGCCAAGTCAGTGGCAGACACCAACTTCTCTTTTCGAATAGTGCCAAGAGATCTTTAATGTCTAACTAAACAGACAAACGGGACCTCAGTTTAAAGTTTCATCCGAAGGACAGCACCTCGGATAATGCAGCTCTCCCCAGCATTTTTTTTTGAGTGTCAGTCTAGACTGTGAATTCAAAGACCTGACATGGAGCTTGAACCCATAACTTTTTGACTCAGAGGTGAGACTGTTATCAACTGAGTAAGGTTGGCACCTCACCATTCACTTCTGGCTGCTCTAGTGTGACCCTTCCTGGAAAGCATAGTCTCTCAACCTTCTTTTCTGTTAACCCCTCACAGTCATTAATTACCATCTGTGAAAAGAAATGCTTCCTGGTGACTGTCCTGAAATTGCCTTTTGCAACCCTAAACCAGAGCCAGGTTGTTCTCCAGCCATGGCTTATCAGAAAGTAACGTCTAGATTTACTTTCTTCAGCCTATTTAAAATTGTATATACCCCTTCAATCCCCTTAAATGGCAAGCTAGCTGATCTCTGCCAAGGTGATAACAAAAAGAATACAAATAGCAACAATACCTCAGTGCTAAGGAGTCAGAGAAAAAAAAGAAATAGGCCATTGTGACTACTTCAGATTGCTGAGCGAAAGCCCTGTTAAAAATATGGGTGTAAACATTGAGGCGGGCAGGAAGAGGTTCAACTGTAATATTCCCCACATTCGAATGGTCTGACAAAACTCACCGCCTTGGCCCACCTCTTTTGCTTAATCACATGTGTGAAGTAACAAGAAGGGCAAGCAAAATCATTGATGCCTCACTCGAGCCTCCATCTTCAGGAGAGGAGCATGAAACACCAAAAGGAACTGAAATAGGAATAATTCTAGAATTGGCCACTTTTCTTGCTTCAAAACATTATCCAATATATGGAGAGATAAATGGATTGCACTGATAGGGAAGTAACACAATCTTGCATTGGCATTATACAGTTCCCAAAGAATCCCCATTGAATGCCTCACTGACAATACAAAAATGAAGAAAACATTTGATAAAAATACGAAATCTTCCTGCCTCTATAGAGCTTTCACCATTTTATGTTCTGGGGGTTTCTTTGGGGGACTTAATCAACACTCTGTGTACATTCCTAAACAACTGGAAAAGAACAAAATAATGAGTGTAAAATGGACCATGTGTGCAGACGGAATTATAAACACCCTTAGTTCACCAATAAAACAATTGATAGGACACCTGTAATTCTATTTGTATGCAATGATTAATACACCCCAATGTCCTCAGAGATGGAGGAGTATGTTATATCTTAATGGTACAATACACTGGACCCAACAGACTATTCTTTGGAAAGCTATAGGATAAGGAAATTGCCTAGTGCTGAGTTCACACTGAACACCCTTGAACAATGGTTTTCCCCCCAGACATTTTGATGGAAGTAGACTGATTACCAAAACAGTTCATGCAGATAAAATATGAGCATCCAGGGTCAGTAGAGTGTATATAATTTTGATGGCATCACAATAGTAGCCTGAAGCAACATGGGTTAGCAATTTGTTAACTGAAAGTAGTGCAAGCATAATTGTGACCAGCCAGATAAGGATTTGGGCCACTCACACAGGGATAAGAGTCATCCTATAATAATTTGAATGGAAATCAAAGATAAGCAACTGAAACACTGTTTATTTTTCCAGCATTTACTTTCGAGCTTAAAATGATTAGCATGCCATGGGATGTGGGTAAGAACTCTCTACTACCTTCATCGTAGCTAAAGAGTTATGAGGGGGAAGTGAAGGAAAGGAGTTTAATGCTTGAAAGAAAGCGAGATCAGTACCACAAGAATAAAGAGGAAACTCAAAGCAAAAACATCAAGGCAAGCTTGCTAAATAGCCTTGACTAAACACATGCTCTGATGCCATGTAACTGAGCTTGATGCTGATTGACCCATAGGATGGTGAGTATCACATGACTCAAGGAGAAAGGTGGTTTACAAATTCATTAGACACTCATACACTATGCTACACTGCATCCACTGGCCCCACTGTACCCATCAGACTCGGTTTTGTTTTAAAGGGGTAGAATTTCCTCTTAGAATGCTAGACAGTATTATTCACTGTGTAAAATACTTATATTACTTCCCACATTACTTTCCACAGTCATAGCATCCTGGCTCAAATCAGTGTAGAGGAGGGACTTTCCTTTTCCCAATATACAGCAGTATTAAAGCTCATTACAGTAACTCATTTTTCCTATTTTATATTATATGCATTGTTTAGGCTAGGCTCATATTTGTATGCACTCTTGTGTAGCTGACCAAAGTGCCAATGATCAAACCAATAATATCTGAAAATGACAGTACTTGTATTTCAGGATTAAGGGTATAATAAAGCTTCACAGAAACTAAATACAAAGATACATAGCCGGAGGAAATGTGCCACAATGGAAACAGATCATCACTGTCATCAATTTGAGTTATTAGTCTCAAATTATATATTTTTGAAATTACAATGCAAAAGTTCAGGATGTGGTAAATGCAACTTTTAGTGCCGAACAACATTGTCACCGTGCCAGGCCCTGACCAGCAATTGAATTCTGAGAAAAACCTCTTGTCCTAAAAAAAATTAGTATGTCCAATTATTTTTTATTTTTTCTAAAGGCAACATCTAAAGTTGACATAACTGTGATGACCTCAGTGCTGCAAAATATTCCAGGCAGTGAAGTCTTTCTGTTTTTTTTATATGTGTATAAAAAGGACTCCAAGGTATTGAGTCATAAGTACTCATGGGTACATTGTTTTACTTATACAATATAGTTTACATTTACATAGCACGTTTCACAACAGGAGGACATTTCAAAGTGCTTTAGTTCTTAGAGCAAGTGTGAAAAGCCCACATTGGAACTTTCAGCTCGCAGGCTCGGCTGACACTCCAGTGCAATGCTGGGGGTGCTGCATTATTAGAGGTGCCATCCTTCAGGTAAGACATGAAACCAATGAAACATAAGACTGGGGTGAAGTGGTGGGGGGCTGAAATGGATAATAATAAATAATAATCCCTGCATTTGATATAGCGCTTTTCACATCTTCTAGACGACTCAAACCACTTCACGGAATATACTGTAAAGTGAATTGACTGTATATTTGTGGATGAAACGTAGTAGCCAATTCCACACAGCAGTGGCCCACAAACTGTCATCGATTGAAGTGACCAATTTATTATTTTTTNCTTGAGGGAATATTATCAGGCATGTGGAGTAAGGAAACTTACTCAAGGTTACACCCTACTGGGAATTGAACCCAGGTCTCTTGCTTGTGAGGCGAGTGCTCTAACCATTGAGCTACAGGATTCCATGTGGGTGAAGGAGCAAAACACTTGAGGTATCATCTTACAAAAAGGAGCTAGTCCTGCCCGACTGAGCTGCACCACTCCAGCCATTTCAAGGCATTTACATTCCTGGCTAATATAATATTAAGAGTAATAAGAGTACTTATCTTTCAGTCAATTTCTACAAGTGTTGTAGGTCTGGAATTTGCATTCATTTCTTGTATGAGAAAGTCATGAGAGCATTGTTCTCCGCTCATCAGTACATTTCCCAGGCTGGGCAGCCAGGATATATTAATCTTCCCTGGTCAAGTAACGTTATCAATGTTTGGCCCAGAGACTTACAATGGGAAATCCCATTATAAGTGCATACTGCCAAAGATTAGTAAATTTACTGACAAGGGAAGATTAACCGTCTTAAAGTTTAGACTTGAATTTTTGTTCCAAATAACCGGTGGAAGTAAACGTCACGGAGGATTACTTGCGAGGTTTTTGGTGCAGTGTTTCCCATTTCAAAGCAGACAGGCATACATTTCATAATATAGTACTTCATAAACACAGCTTACTCATTTATCAATGTATAATGATCCAATGGTAAATTCAAACCTTCTTTGGACGAGAAGTTAAACCTATTAAACTTCCCATCTTCATGTGCAGGTGGATGTTAAAGACCTCTTGGTACTATTCAGAAAGAAAAAGTGAGGTTCACTCAGTGGCGTGGCCCAAAAACAACAATAAATTTCATTTATACAGAGTCTTTCACATTGGGAGAATGTCCCAAGACCCTGGACAGTCAGGGATTTGGACCCAAGCTGGTGTTTCGGATCAGGATGGGTGGAGGGCAGGGAAGTAGGGGTCCATCTATCCATCCATCCATCCAAGACCCTCCTCTTGGACCACGCCTTCAATCCAAGAGGAGGATTTGGAGATGAGCCTTGAACAAGGCAAGGGAGGAAGGCGAAGGGACTCCGAAGGGATGGAGTTCCAGAGAGTGGGGGTGGAGAGGCTGCTGGCCCTGAGTGGGCCAGATGGGAGATGTGGAGCAGGCCAGAGCCTGCTGAGTGGAGGCAGCGGACAGGTCAATGCAGAGTTAGCAAGTCATTGTGATAGGGAGGACCAAGGCCTTGGAGAGAATTGAAGTTGAGGACGAGGACAATCCCCAAATAAAATTGGTCAATAACTTTATGGCTATTTGTAGAATATTGCTGTGTGAAAATGATGGCTGCCATATTTGCCTTCAAATACATTCTACAGTAAATCTTACAAAAGGTTCTGAGATGTTTCAATGACTTATTAAGTGGAAGTAGTATTCACTTTATAAAATACATAGCTTTATAACATTTACAAAATATGCAGATATGTTATGGAGACATTTATTTGGAAGGAGCTATTGCAAGTTATTGATGGTGGCTATGAAATGACTTGACAATTAAATATTTTATTAATAATTAATCATAAAAATAATCCTCGAATTTCATATAGCTCCTTATAACGTCATTGAGACGTCTCAACGCGTTTCACAGAATATATTGTAAAGTGCATTGACTGTGTATTGTAGTCAAAAATTTTAATGAGTAAGCTGCATGATGTTCTTCTG